CATTGTCACTTTTTCTTTTTTTCCCTAATGCTTTGTTTAGCCACCAGGAGCAATGAAATTTCCTGATATTTCCAGGTGAGGAGCATGATGGAACTCACTCCCCTTCCTCTAATGTGGATAGCAATTCACTTTGTATTTTCACATGGGCAGGGATTGAGTCCTAAGCTCTGTATGAGCTCCATTTAGCCTATACAGGCTTCCTACCCTCGCTCCCAGCAGCTGAATAGAAACACTGGGTATTTTCCTTTTTTCTTTTTTGCCTAAATGAAAAAAAGGGGGCTGCAAGGTAAAAGTGAGTATACAGTATACTGCTGGGAATGGGAGAATTCACATGAACCTAAAACAGGTTCACAGGCTCACACACACACCCTGTAGCAAACTGATCACAGCACTTTTGATAGAAACAAGTATACATATCGAACCACTGAATGTAGTGACACCCCACCCCTATGTTGCAAATAAAAAAACAATAATTTTCAAGGGGGCTTTTTAGGTGCCATACCACAATTAAAAATTATTTTTGTTTACCTAAAAAGCCTTATTTTATTAAGATATTGTATAATACCATTTATTAAAACAAATGCATAGCATCACTGGAGAGTGTTCAATCCAGAGTATACAAAATGCTATTGGCTGCTCACAAATACCTCCCAGGGCCACACAGAATATATTCCAAAGATTGTATAGGTGTCAGTCTGTAGGCAAAGCCTGTACTATTACAGTTGAACATTGAGTGGGCCCACTCGTCTACCCATGTTGCATACGCTGGTTCAGGAAGGATAGAGGTTGCAACCAAATAGATAACATTGCACTAAATAGTTGGAGGTAGGAGAGTCCACACACACAGGAAGTCTATCACATCACCAAATGGTGTCACAGATAGGGAGCGTCCATGGACAGCAGGGTTTGAGAAGATGGGGGCCCGCCACATAGTCCTGATGGCGGGTGGCTGTAAGGGAAGGAAAACACAGTAGCTACTCTATACAAAAGCTATCCTCCAAGGGTAAGTATGGGATTTTTATTAGCGGTTCCCACAGATGCTGTGTCTCAAATTATGATCCCCCTCCACTGGAAGGGGTGTGGCACCTAAAAAGCCCCATTGAAAATTACAGCAGTTTTGATAACCAGATAAAACACAGCCAGATAAAAGTAAGACAGCATGCTATTTTTCTCATCCCTGCACTTAAACTTTGTACCCGGTTACCTCAAGCCACATTTCATATTTGGTCATAAATAAACTCACAGCCATTTCCCCTGGCACCATCTCTTTTGTGGTACAAAAATTGAGACTGCCACAATCTGGTGTCGCTTTCAAGTGTGTGATCAGGAAAATGTATTCAGTTTTAAAATGACTGCCCCATGTAACTGTTATTATATTCCAATATTCTAACAAAATGTACAACGCTAATTGTGATTTCTATTTTTCTATGTTGTATGTTACATGTTTGGCTTTGCATGCAAAAAATAATTCCAGCTATGTCTAACTTAAATAAAGTGGTCCTTGTGTGGAGTAATGTACATGTGTGACTGTTTTTGTAGCCTTTCATGGTGTGATGTAAACAGGAAGTAACTAATCTGTGTGAGGATTATTATTTCCAATGCAAATAAATTAAATTTACTTTCAAGGTCATTTGTAACAATTTAGGACATAAACATGTAAGGCATTTCAATTGCTGCTTATTGTAATTCATCATGAATTTAAATGATGTTGATTCAAATTAAGAATCCATCACAGCCAACTCCAAGGTGAGCTGAGCATTATGAATTTAGTATTTTACTGATTAATCCTGAACATTGACAAGAGCTTTTTTTTTTTTGTCCACATATTTGAATGCTACATTTAGCCTTGTTACACCTTCTGGGAGTTCAAAAAGCTTTTGCCAATAAAAGCAGTTACACAAATAGATAGGTATTCATCTTGTCTCATACACACATCATGATTTATTTGACTTTCTATTTACATTTGCTTTTCAGCTTCTTTATTTAATTTGTGTAATTTGATTTTAACATCCCAAGGCAGTAAGCAATATGCAATTTTATAGGGTTGATAAAACCTAAGCATAAGTTGGTTTGTAGTTTAAAGTGACATTAAACTCAAGAGTTGAATCTTAAAAATGCATCCAATTACCTTTTTTGTGTATCACTCGGCTGTAGATCCTCAAATCATCTCTGAATTGGTGCTGACACTGTCCTTCCTTCTGGAGGGGGGCTACTTTTGTTCCCCATGGTCCCTGTGTGTGTTGTAAAGTAGACACCACTCCAGACTTGCAAAAATTCAAGGGAACCTTCAGACAATCATCGCCTTACCTAAAAGCTTTTTAATACCTAAGATGTTATTGATAGTTCTTACATTATTATCAGGGCCAGATTAACACAGAGGCTACTGGAGCGCTAGCTCCAGGCCCACCACTGAAAATTGGCCTGACCAGCCCAGTTTTCCCCGGCATGACAATGGCAATCTGGACCGGCTGGGCTGAACACAATCAGGCAGAGGCGGCAGTGAAATTCTAATTAGGCAAATTAGGCGGCTTCTCACTAAGTGCTTACGGGCCCCAGCAAGGAGCAAGTGGCTGCCTATTTAGAGAACTGACTCTGCTGCTTCCCGTCTGACCAACTGACAGCACCAGCCCCATGATGCTCTTGATCCAGTCCTGATTATTATCCAACTTCTGTTTATGTTTTATTGGTTTTTTTATGCTTACAATATGTCTGTATAACCTTTTCTTGTCTGTATTGTTCACATTTGTATGATCTTCACATGCTAGTTTTTAAAGCCTATCTCCAGCCAATGTTATTTATTAATTTTTTTGGAAAGAGTGGGAAAGAGTTAAAAATATGGTCAGGTTTGTATGTCTGTCTGTGACCCCACTAAGGAGATTTCCCTTACTTCCAGTGCATGTGACACCTGTATGAATGTAGGGCTATCATTGGTACAGGACAGCAATGAAAGCATTGTCCGATGTTGTAACCGTTTCACACTCTACTAAAGATGTGTTTTTGCTTTGTCTGTGCAACCAGTGGAAAGATTTTACAGCAGTACTTGCCCTGGTGGAAAGACTTCCAATTTTTGCTTGTCCTGACAGAAAGTAAGGAAAAATCACCTCAATAGAAACACATACAGAAGTAAATACCTGACAAATGCTCTAGCTCTTCCGTGCTTTGTCCAATATATAATACGGTGTTTGGTTGGAGCTGGGCTTTAAAGGCCACAAGGGGATGTATTCTCTTCATTCTAATGTCTGTCATGTCTTGCTTCTTCTTTCTACAAGTCCGTCTTATTTCTTCCAGATGAATGATGCTATGGGATTTGAATTACCTTGGGTGTATTTTGTCAGTCTCGTCATCTTTGGGTCATTTTTCGTGCTAAATCTTGTTCTTGGTGTTTTAAGCGGGTAAGCACATGCCTTTTCTATCATGAAGGCAGAGCCCAGTATCTAGTTGCCACCAAAATGTATAAAAAGAAAAAGGCCAAAAATTGCCTGCCACGAAGATACAAAGCACATATCAAGAATATTTAAAGATGTTCTTCATGAAAGACCAACATTTTCTGTATGAGGGGCAAAAGGAAAAATGTTTTTCAATGTCAGGCCAGCCCTCAACATCTTACATTCACCAGAAACCCAAGAGGCGTGCAAGGTGTTATCTGACTTTCTAAGGTATATTGATGATTTGGAGCTACTGATATGTACCGTAGCTATATAAGTGCAATATGATATGGCACACCAGCTTGAAGGGAAAGCATAGTGTATTTTCGGTGAGAACATATTTTAACTTATTATTATTTTTATTTTACTAACTTCCTCTCCCTTTTTATGTTAATTTATATGTAAATATTTGTAGATTAGTCACTAGAGGTTGGATAGATTAGCTGTTCCAATTACCCTAACTAACTGCTTAACAACTGTTTAGATGGGAGAAGATGAGATAAGATATCAGCCAAACAGGGAGCTGATACATAGACATGCGTTATGAGAAGCAGTAAAGCATAACCATTGTGTAGCACTTCAAAGCAGGCTGCCAACACAGAATTACAAAGTACACATAAAAACAAGGAATTTAAAAGATAAGCACACCTTTGCAGGATTAATCACAGCACACGGATGTCTTCTACTTGTCTTTCTAAAAATTGTTAAAAAAAGGACTATGCTTTTAATGAATTATTAATAACAAATTTAAGCTTTGAACTGCAGTTTAGTCCATGGTGCTAGACTACTTTTCTGGACATTCAAAGAGCAGTGCTTTTGGTATTTCTGTGTACCTGACTTGCATAAAGTGTGCCATATGTATCATTATCTATAATGCAGACACTTTACTAGAGACCAGTTTACATCAGAGCAGTTGCTGTTTATTCCTTCTATCTTTGAGCAGTTAATTGACTTCAGAATGCCCACCACAAAAATCACTACAAAAGCTTGTCTTTGATGAAGAACCTCCTGAAATATTGCATAATTCTTAAATTTTGCAGCTAGACAAACGCATAAAGAACTAATTGGGACAGCTAAGTGTCTTTGATTCCATCGAGCTCTAGACCACAACTGAGGTGGATGGAAGTTGACCTAATTACTTGGTGGCTGCAGGTTGGTCTCTGCTTTATCGTACATGAGTAGAGTATAACCACCTTCCTTACATTTCTACAGGTGAATGATGCCATAGGATGTGAGTGGCCATGGGTCTATTTTGTTAGTCTTATTATCCTTGGCTCATTTTTCGTTCTTAACCTGGTTCTTGGTGTACTTAGTGGGTAAGCAGTTGAATTGTGTTTGCATATTCTACTGCTGTGTGCTAGGTGGCCGACTGTCTTCTCATCTGCACAATGTAAAATACTTTCAATATTTGTCTTGCATGCTAACAGCATCATGTTTTCTCTGTTTTGTCTATGTTTGGTCAATTATGTTAGGTTTGTTAAGATAACATGAGATTGACACAGATACTGCACAGTGTGCAGCAAGCACTATGCCTGTTCTTTGCCAGAGCTACACAACATATGGGCCTAAGATGACCCTCACTGAAGCAGTACAATCTGTTTTGGAGCTCTTAGGCTCTGTAGATTGTCATGATTTTATTTTTGGGGTGATGGGTCAGGGGACAAGCTACCAAGAGGTAGCCAAACAGCACTGTTGTAGCATATTCCCATTCATCCTCTCTAATGGTCCATAGAAAGTCCAGCTTTGTTTAAGATTCCAGGTGTAAAAGCAGAGAGCTTGTTTTTATTTACCTTGTCACTTCTCATTCCCATGTGGTTCTCTAGAATCCCCTAGTTCCATTGTACCCTTTTTCATTTTTAAAGAACTCATTATCTATGTCCATATTTTATTTTCTTGCTATAGACCAGAAAATAAAAACTTGATATGATAAATGGAATGATTGTAGAAGTTAGTGGTCTGGATAGTGACACATATGCATAGAAGAAAGGAGATGCTGAGGACCTGGCATAGGTATGAAGCACAACGACGAAACAATAGCTGCTATAAGTTAAAACACACTAAGCACTTGTATGAATGATCTAACTAAGCACTTCTTAGCACATCAGGTCAGTGTTAGGAACCCTTTACTGCTGGCCCACATTTTGTCTCACTCCAGTGATGATATTGGTCCCTTATTTCTTATCATATTGCATTTCTGAACTTTAATCCTGACTAGAGTGGCTCCTACATTTTTCTTGGGTCTGATACATTTCAACGATACCCTATCAAAACGTACGGCATGTTTTTATTGAATTTACGCCATTGTGTGTCTTTTTCTTACTTTTTACTTATCTCTCATTCCTGGAGCAATTCAGTGTGTTTAACCGGCCACCTACACTCTTGTCTGTGTGCTACCCTGTACACTTTGCATGTCTATTTGCTTGCTTTTTACTTATTTATGTTGAATCATTAATTTTATGTGGTAGATATAAAAATGCCATTTTGAAATGTCCAAATCTTAAATATGTATTGGGTGCTGTACATGGATTACAAATGAGTAAAGAAGTTTATTTGCATCTTTTCGGATCCTTGTTTTGGTATGATTAATCTATACGTCCTAACATCTTAAAAAAAGGAACAGTTGGGTCCTGCACAATAATAGCCTTATATTACCTTTTAGGGTAATATGAGGATTCTTACCTTAACTGGGATAACTGGTTAGTACGTTAGTCTCTTACAGAGGTGCCCATTTTGGCAGTCCTCATGAGACTAATGGCAACTTGAAGCAGAAAGTGGTGTCACTGGGTGCTAGTGAACTCTTGAGGTACATTTTGTGACCATATATGGGGCCATTACAGTGTTTCCTCCATTAAGGCAAACTGTTTTTCTATACTTATTATCTTCTGGATTTATAAAAACGGAAGTAAAGAAAATCTAAGCTATTAGGGGCCATTCCATATTTTATTTTCCTGCTATAGAACAGAAAATAAAAACTTGATATGATAAATTTTATGGGCAACAACATTTTCCATTTCATAGGAATGGCCCTCTTTGTGTGTAAAGTTAAAAAAGACTACATTATGGTTATGTTAAGTAGAGTATAAAGCAGAGTCTTTGCTACTTGCAAGGGGTGCCACCAGGACTGGAAATGCCCTTCACCAGGGATGAAATTTGACATGCAATAGAGACATCATGACACTATACTGGAGTGGAAGTAAGGCTTCACCCCACAGGACAATTTATGTCCAAATATATTGAAATACATAGTGGTAGAGTTTAAAAAATGAAGGTTGTATTGAGGTTTGTGTTTTTAAAAGTATCTAAAGCCAAAGCTTTTGTTAATTAATTACGGCTTGAGTCAAGAATGGTTACAATTTAGGTAATTCTTTTGCTATCTGTAATTTCCATCAATTTCTTGTCCCAGTAAACAACAGGGAGTGAGGGTAAATCCTTTCCAAAGTAATGGAAAATTTCTTGCTACCAACAACTCACAATATACACTTACACTCCCTGATGAAGTGTATTGACATGCAAATGGTCAGGATTTGTATTTTGATCTATGGAGAAATAAAAGCTACCTTTTGGAAATGACTATTCTTAGGGGCAATACAGATATACTCTTAGGGGATACAATATATTCTTATGGCAATATACACATACAAATTAATGATGGGCCATTTTTCAAGCAAGTATTAGCTTTGGAGAGTATATTGTGACTTGCTGGTTTGATTATTTTAAATGTAGTGGCCACCATTGTCCCCTACTGATACAATTAAGACTGGCAGGTAAAAAAAAATGCTGTGCATTATGTTCTGATACCCTTACCTTTTGTCACTGGAACAAGTGTCCCCATTGAAAGATTTCCTCTCACCTCCTGTTCTGGGGAAATCTGGATTTCCCATCACTTTCTGTATGGTGGACAATGGATGCCAAAATAAATACCGAAGGTGAATCCACCTCGTGGAAATACAGGCAGCAATAAAACCTGGCAGCATTTAAAAAAAAAACCTTTCCCTACTCTGTCGAAAATCTGTAGATACACTTTAATTTTGAAGGATTAGGAGGCATGCTTTAAATTAAACTTGTTGTTTTACATACTATGTGTTTGATGGACAGAATGTGCAGTTATCATTATTCTGTCTGTAGTGGCTCCAGAATTATCTTGAATTTGTTAGTGCACTTAATTGATGGATAAGAAGTCCCCTCGAGACCTCCATGTGATATAATATGGCTAATTTTAGTCCAGAAGGACAGAGATTGGCTGCACAGGAAGGTAATTAGCTGGTTTTATCTGGTGTTTTGTTCAAGGAAGCGTACATGAGACACAGAAAATGTACCTTCAAAAAACAAGTTCAGTCGTGTTAAAATAGCTTCCAGTGTTAATGTTAGAGCTGCAGCTAACGATTATTTTCAAAATCGATTAGTTAGCCGATTATTAAGTTCGATTAATCGGTTAATCGGATAGAAAATAAAATACATTTTTAAAAATGGCTCCGGTGATGGGACTACTAGTTTGTATTGAGATTGCAGTCCATCACAGGAGCAAGCTAGGAGCGGTGGAAGTAAAAAAGAAAAAAGAGAAAGTGTGGTGTGCAATATAGTGAAATGAAAAGTGTAAAATTATATAGCAATGAATGCAGAATGGCACCGGCTATAGAGGACTACAAAACCCAGCAATAGTACATTATACAGCGCAATGCAGAATACCGCCAGCTATAGAGGACTACAACAAATCCCAGCAATAGTACATTATAGCTGGTGGTATTCTGCATTGCGCTGTATAATGTACTATTGCTGGGTGTTGTAGTCCTCTAAAGCTGGTGGAATTCCGCATTGCGCTCTATAATGTACTATTGTTGGGTTTTGTAGTCCTCTATACAGCGCAATGCAGAATACCACCAGCTATATAGGAATACAACAAATCCCAGCAATACATTATACATACAGTGTATAATGTATTGCTGGGATTTGTAGTCCTCTATAGCTGA